GTGTGGCCTGCACCTTCTGTGCTCCGCAGGGGCTCACACCTCCAGTGAAGGCAAAGGGAGCAAGGCAAATGTTAGCTCTCAGAAAAGACCTTAGTGCAGAGAGCTAGAAATAGCAATAACGTCCCCAAACAACCTGTCCTTACAACAGGGCTCTGCCATCCTCCTCCCTCTCCCAGGTCAGGGCCCAGCTCGCCCTGCCACGGGGCACTGCCCAGGCCCACCCACTGCCCCCAAACTGGTGCCTCCCCTGGAAGCCTCAGAGCCAAAGAGTGAGTCTTCAGGAGAGTACTTCAGCCAGGTTCAGACACCACGGCTACGACATCACAGGCTTCCTGCCCTCTCTCGCCAAACCAGAAAGATGCTTTGCTCTCTCAGCAACATCCTGTTTTCTTACCGGACTCTGGCAGGTACGTCGCGTGGCGTGTCCACCTCATCCGGAAACATCTCATCCATTCTCTCCTGTTTGTATCTCTCCAGCATCTGTTCATCTTCCTCCACCTTCTCGTCGTACTGGTCGTCCCGCAAGCACTCGGAAACGGTCATGGTCTCGCACTCCTCCTCTGCAGCTTCCTCTCCCTCCTCGCTGCTCTCCCCGTCCTGACACAGAGGACAGCGCAGAGCCCGTGAGCACACGCGCTGTCGGTATCCCTGCAGCACTGCAAACCCTGCGCATCCTCACACCATGCGAATCGCGACCCAACCTACACACAGTACATTTCAGTATCTAACAGGCCAAAGAAGCAAAGTGATACATGCAAGAGGTCTAACAACAGAAATCCAGGCAAGTCCTGGCTCTGCGTTGTGCCCTTGCATGGAGCATGCCAGGAGGACAGGATCGTCCGAGAATATGCAGTAATGATCTGGAAATCACCTGCATTATCAGCTCTTAGAAGTACCTGGGAAACTGCCTCTTCCATCATATCGTCATCGATGTCATCATCTTCGTCGTCATCATCATCATCTTTCTCACTGCCTTCTTCTCCATCATCCACAATCCAGGCAGCCTGATACTTGGATGTGCCTTTGGGGACCTTCACCACCCTCCTGTCTGCCTTCAGAGATGCTGGAGGGTTCCCAGCAGTGGTTAATACAGGAACAATTCTCCTTTCCCTCAGCAACACTTACACCCGAACGGCCAAGATCAGCTCTAGACCAGAATCGCTGTTTCCCAGCCCGTAATTTGTCAGGGCCCAGAAAAGGCAGCTCGGACACAGCCCTGCTAACTGCCGGGCAAACCACGCAGCCTGGCACTCAAACTCAGGTCGTGGGACTAGGAGTGGAAACCCCAGGCTCCCAACTAGCGCGTTTCTTCACAGCCAACCCGAGCCATGCCAGTGGGAGGGTTTCCAACAACCCTCTTAATAGGGACAAGCAAAAGGTACAGAAGTAGTGCCGCTACTCACCCTCTGCTTCCTGCAGCTCTTCTTCAGTAGGCCACGTCTGCTCCCCTTCCATAGGATCAGGAATCACTTCTGACTGCAAAGACTCCTGCTTCTTTGGATCTGCCTTCATCAGGACCTTAACATCTTCCTCCATCTCATCGGTACCATTGACAGCGTCATCCTGAAGGGCAAGAGCAGAGCCTCCAGCTGTGAACACATCTACCTCAAGCCAGCAATCAGTCTGAAGCAAAACTTCCTCCAGCATCACGCTTGTTATGTTGTAACATAATGTTTGTTACGGGCTGTGGGCAAGGAATCCCAGCTCAGCGGCAGAACACAGGCCTACTGCCTTTGATGAACTGCCCTTTCCACTCCCCTTGTCCACCCACCCCGAGCTGTTATTTTCATGAAGGAAGTTTAGAAACACCGTGTTCTACTGGGCCCAGCAAAACCCTGATCCACCCCACACCTGTACCTCCATGTCCTGACTCCTCTTCTGTCCTTTAACCACTCGGGGGTTCAAAGAGAGTGGGTCGGGGGGGGCATCCACCTGGCTCATCTGGAAATCTCCGTGCCCCACGATATGCACCAGGCTGTTCACGTCGAGGGTCTGTCCTCGGACAAAGCCGGACACCTTCAAGGTCCCAACCAGGTCGCTCTCCTGACCGGGCACAAACTCGGCAGCATAGGCGAGCAGGTGAGCCCGCCTGTCCCGAAAAGCGAGGTGCCGCTGCTTCTGGGTGGCGAGGTGCCTCAGCAGCAGCAAGGACTCCTGCTCCGTGTGCAGGGGAAAGAGCTTGGCCTCAGGAAAGCGCTTCTCAATGGCTTTGGCGAGTTTCTTCCTGGCGTCTATCCGCTTCTTAGGTGGCAAGTCAGTGCCGCCTGGGACAGCGAGAGCTACCAAGCAGTGCACAGAACAGAGCTCAGGTTCAGACTGTGAACCTCCTGACGCCCGTACCAAGCACTGACACTCAGGTATCAGCTCCCCAAATAACACATTCACACCACAAGGTGCAAAGGCAGTTTCACCCACTCCAGAGAACAACTGGGACAGAAAACCTGTCCTCAGAGATAACATTCTGAGACTGAATGACACTGTGGAGATAAGGCCCCAGGAGCTGAATGTAGCAAGAAAGCATCTGAACCCCTTCACTCTGCACACGCAGGCAGCCATTCCAATACCAGCACCCAGAGGCCTAAACTTAAACCATCCCTTTTCCCTCCAGCACTTCCCCACCAGGGCAGTACCACAACAAGGCAGGAGGAGAATGGCATTGACCCGGCCAGTCTCTGCTCAGAAACAGAGCAATCAGAGCCCTGTGATCACCTATTAACATACGGAGTTTTTAATTACTGCAAAAGTAAAATTCCCATCAAGCATCTCTCTGGCTAATAACCTCACCAGAATCCCTTAACGCTTCTCACTTGCTTACCATAACTGGGGAGCCCCTGTGCGAAGAGGCAGGAGAGGCAGTGCTCCCCCACGCTGTCCCAGCCATCCGTAGAATCCAGAATGAACAGGAGGGAGTCAGCAACCTTTGCTAGGTCTAAGACAGCGTGAAGGTCCCCTGCACACAGAACATCTCCATTACAGGGGCTG